TCTGGTCTCATTTTCAAGTATCATCTTCTAGAACCCCCTAGGCTGCTGTATAACAGCAGTTAGATACAAATTTAGAGAAAAAAAATGTAAATTATTTTATAGGACACATAGAAAAATATTATTCGCTTAGGCACTATTTCCATTTTTAGCAAAAAAAACCACAAACATTTATTTTGCAAGCAGAACAGCTGATTTTCAGGCTTTTGCAATGCATCATGATAATGTAGAAATATTTCAATTAATTTTTGTTTACAAGACTATATATTTTTTGCACTGAAAAGCATGTGCTCTCATTCTAGAATGATGTGAAAGAATATAGTTTCTTCTCATTCTTCGCTGCATACAGAATAATTGGATATATTTTAAATCCATGGTAAAATACAATGTTTCCCAATTTATTAGCTGGGCACAATGCAACATGGCTTATTTTCTGCCCAGATAGAGCTGGAGCCAAACTAAAGCCGTCCACACAAGCAGTCCTGTAAAGTGAAGATGCTTGGATCAGTGCAGTTCCAGTGCAGTTCCAGAGTGGTGAGATGTCATTAAACCGAAGCATTGAGTCTGATTGGATCTCCCTGCTTAGGCAAAGCCTGAACAGACACTGTTTTCTTGTGTATTTCCACTTATTGGGGTACACAGGGAGTGAAAAGCCCCCTCTTCCATCCGAGGGAAAAGAGATGCAGAGGGAAGAGAGGTGTTCTGCTCCCTGTGGGGACAAAGGGCTCTGCTCAAATTCATCGCGGCTGCCTCCTGCTGGGCACCCACTGGGATTTTGGTAGCTGCAGTGGGCAGAGCGGGAGCATGGAGGGCCTCACACCTCCCCTGGATGTGTGTGGGATGAGGGCTGCCGAGACACATCGTTCTGGTTGCTTCCACATCCAGCACTCCGAGCTGGTGGCTGCTGTCCAAGCTGAGCACTCCGCTGCCTCTTGAAGTCTATAAAACCAAGTTTCCTTCATATAAAGAGGGAAAACACTTTAATGTTGTGTTACTGTAGAAATATCAGAAAAACTAATGTTGTCTTTACGCTCCTTGTTTAATATTCTGTGCACAGAAAAAATCTGTGTGACCTCACTGAGGCAGTATTTGAAAGGGATAAGGAGGAAGAAAAAAGTCAAGAAACACCCAATGCTTTAATTTAGCCAAAAAGGCTGGATATCCTGTTTATTGTAAGCAAAGGCTCAAACTCTGCTTCCCTGAGGGAGAGAGAGGCAAAAATGTCACCAGCTCTCCCCTTCATCCTGCCTGGTGTTGGGAGCGCTGCCACTGGAGTGCACAGCAGCTGAGGGAACTGGTGTTGATCAGTCTGGAAAAGAGGAGGCTCATCAATCTCTACAACCACCTGAGAGGAAGTTGTGGTGAGCTGGGAGTTGTCCTCTTCTCCCAGGTAACAATGATAGGATGAGAGGGAATGGCCTCAGGTTGCAACAGGGGAGGTTCAGGTTGGGTATTGAGAATTTCTTCTGAGCAAGAGCAGTGCTGCAGTGGCACAGGCTGCCCAGGGAGGTGGTGCAGTCACCGTCCCTGAGGTGTTCAGGAGCCGTGTGGATGTGGCACTGAGGGACGTGGGCAGTGGGCGTGGGGGGGGGGGCTGGTGGTTGGACTGGGGGATCTGAGAGGTCTTTTCCAACCTTAATGATTCTAAGAGTCTATGGCTCTGTGAAGACCAGTGGTCTGGGCATAGTGCTGAGCTCAGAGAGGCAGGCATACACGGCAGGTTTGCTGTCTGACCACGGGCAAGCCACCTTGTTTCCCCGTGATTCAGTTTTCCACTTGTAAAACGGGGATAATAATAGACCTGTGCTTTGCAAAGGTGAGCTAAGGACAACTTGACTGCTCTTTAAGCAAGTTATTTAGAGGGTAACTTCAAAGTAAAGCTAATAAACACAGAAACACAAGTCACCCTAGCAAGGCACTGCCTGTGCATTTATAGTGGCTTGGGAAAACTATTTAAATGTGTTACATTTTTCTGACACAGTTCTTCACTTTCCTACCACAAAAACAGGTTCTGTGCTGCTACCTGTAGCAACTAGCAGAGGAGAAAAGGTTGGATAGCATTTCTGAGTGGGGAAAAAAATAAAAGTCACTTTTGGAGGTACATCTGAGATGACAATTCCCTGATGTTATCTGTAGGTAGTTCCCACCACAAAGCTGCCACGTATAGATCAAAATAAATAGGTGAGCAGCCCCAAGGAGGAGTCTACAGGTGCTGGTTCTTTGACCAGCTCCAATGACATGAGTGGGGTTTTCATGCATGACAGGAAGCTGCAAGCTGAGGCACCCTCTGTCAGTACCCTAGATAGTTAAAATCTGGGGCTTCAGTTGGTGGATGGGCAATGAAGAGACTTGCAGAGGCATGTTCAGAAGTGGGGTGCCCTGTGGTAACCCCAGGAGGATGCTGCACCTTTGGTTAATTTAATTCAGACACAAATGCAGTGCATCAGAGGGGAAGGCTGATTGCTACCTGGTTGGCCTCAACGTAGCCTGTAGGACCTGCTTGCCTGTGCATGAGGCTGCTGGGCTTTGGGATAGCTTGGGGCCGTGGTGAGAGCTGCAGCAGCCTGGCCAGGAGAGAAGAAAGCAGGATACGAGGAGGTCAAGCTGCTGACTTAACAGCAGAAAATGGCTGAATTGAATTCAAAATGAGGAGTAAATTACACTGGGGATATGAATTTGGAAGGGTCTAAATCTTGGCTCTGTAAGACTCAGGTCAAACTGCTGAAGCTTAAGCTAATCCAAGTGCATGAGGTATTTTACACATGACTCCATGTGCTGGTGTTCAAGTCCTGTGTCAGGAGCAGCATCCAGCTCCGTGCTGCTGACAACCAAAGCACTTGCTCTTGGCCCACCAGAATGTCAGATAGAAGTCTTTTTCATCTTTCTCCCCCCTCACCACCTCCTTTTTTCTTTTTGGAAGCCCTAATGGGTCTCTTTAACAGTGAAACCTCTGCTATATAATATGTCTTTTTATATTTTAATTTTTTTTCCCCTCTTGGGATAATTTATAGCACAGTGTGGAATCTGAGACAGTTCATGCTGTGCCAGAGGGCCTGGCAACAGGAAGAAACGCCGAGCCACTGAGATTTGGAACCATAATACAAGTTATAAAATTTAATTTTGGAAATGCAGCTACTGGGAACTGCTTTTGAATGTACATTTTCCCCTTCATGCATAAAATGGTCTTGTGTCTTGATTACGCTGTTAGGGTGGCATGAAAGAGTGCTCTGTAGAGTAAGGGACATACAGAGCTTTTTGTTGCTTATTCACCGATATGCGAAATTGGAAGCTGGGTGTTTATAAATGTTTAGATGTTAAATATTATGGGAATGTGTGGATTATTCTGAGGAGTTTTGTATCAGTCCATTTCACTGCTGATGCCTTGAGCTCGGGGAGGACTTGCCAAAGGAGCGCAGGAGGTAGAGAGGCAAAGGAGGTGGAGATGCACAGAGAGCTGCCAAAGGCAACTTTTTATTGCAAGACAATGAAAATCAGGAGCAGACAGGCAGCAAACTATGTTATTTGTCAGAAACTGTGGATAACACCACCTTCTTCAATGGAGCAAGTAGAACTAAAGATGTCCATTGATTGACCCCTGTGCTAAATACGGGAGATACATTCACATCAGGACAACAATGTGCTTTCACGTCGAAAGGAAAGGGAAGGAATAAGCAAAGATTCACAAGGCAGCTGATTTCTTGATTTCTTGAGACAAATGCAAAGTGCAGATTTGAGACTGAGGGAAGAAGAGGGTTGATGGCATCCATGTGAAGGTACAAAGCAGAAGGTGCCCTCTTTGGAGTTGGAGATCCTAATCCACTGACTGAATACAGATGGGGTTGGAGGTTCTCACTGTGCCTCTGCAGTCAGTATCTTGTCCTCCATTACAAAGACCATCTTTGATAGGACAATTTGTGTTTCAGAGACAGTCCTATTTTGGTCTTTCTGCTAAGAGGTTGTTTCCTTGAACTGTAAGAAGAAAAAGATGATAGGTTAACTGCTAAGAGGGTGCAAACAAGGATAGAAAAATTGTGTTTTCATCATGCCTACCAGAAAGCAAGTGCTGCAGTAGGTGAAGTATCCTTTATGTATGCTGTGCACATTGCTACTGAGCAACATGGCGTTTTGTGGCAGCATTACATTGAGGGTCCCTGTGGCAGGACAGGTCTCTGCCCTTCTGGACGAACCTGGATGTACCCCAGTGCCATGCTGGAGCAAGGCCTTTCCAACTCCTTTCCTGTCCCCTGGCAGCCCTGTGAGGCCACAGCACCAGAGTGCCATGAGGACAGCATTCCAAGGCCTGCCTCGGCCAGGTCCTGGGCCCTGTTGCTCCCACCTGGCCCAGGCCAGTGCCGCTGTGCTTCATCCTATGCCGCCATGTTAGGGTCTGCTTTCGTATAGTTGGATGTCTGGTTGGACCTCATGTCTTGGTAACTCCTAGTACTACTAAGAGAGACTTCATGACCTTGCAGCTGCAGTTCTGCTTCTGCCAGCTTCTGGTGTTTCTTGCCTATTTCTGTCTGGAAAGCAATTGCTAAAGGGTCCAAAAATGACATTTATTTGGGTTTGTTATTTTACAGCCCCACAGTACTGAGCACAGTACTTTGTGACAGTCTGGGGTTGAATTTCAGATGAGTTACTCTGATGCGGGGTTAGTACAGGGACCACCACAAGTTTCCTCCTGTTATTCACCCTGTCAGACGTTACTTCTTCTATAAAAGCCTCCTCTCCCAGAGTGAGCTGTAGTAAGGAGGCACTGCTGTTTTCAGAGGGCCTGGTTCTTCAGAGTACACCATGACTTTGGCTGCCCCACGATATGGTTTCAATGCATGGTTTGTTTCTCCTGTCCTTGCAGAGAAGTGTTCTCACTATAACTTCGGATAGCCACTAGCTGGTTAGATACTTCGCCAGTGGATGAGGGGTTTAAAAATTAAAATTAAAAGTCAACAGACCTCATGTACCAGTGAGATTTTCTGATCTTTTTCCCCCCCCTCCCACAATAGGACATCGTCAGAAACTAGATGAGCAGACAAAGCCCGGGAGCTTGTCCTTTTCAGAGCGCCTGAGTGAACTGGAGCAGTTGCGTCGTACGGCCATGAGGGTCAGCCCACACCACCCAGCCCCCACACCCAACCCACGAGCCTCCTTGAACCACACCACTGCTTTTAACCCTCAGCCTCAGAGTCAGATTCAGGGTAAGTACCCAAAATCCTCCCCTGCTCGCCCAGCACCCACCCAGCCCCTCTGAGAGCTCCTGGGCTCAGATGCTCCCATCTGTCTTTTTTGGCTGTCCTGAGATGTGTGGAAGCCTTGCAAGTCTTTGTTTTCTTGCAAAGGTACATTATGGCAGGCTTTTTTCATATTTATAGGTATTACTTGATGGGTAGCTATCAATTAATTGTGTGCTTGAATGAAACAAAAGTGCTGTCAAGGCCTTGATTTGGCCCTTCATGGTAGGCAGTTGCAAAGAGAGCTTTAGGCAAAGGACCTTAGAGCCAAGATCTGAATTGAGAGGGCTGGTTTGAACTTGTTTCTGGGGCTAGTGGTTATCCATTGGGTTGTATTTGATAGAAAACTTACAAAATAATGACTCTGGAGTCCAATTTCCTCTGAGATGGAGGTTCACACATATGCCAGTGAAACCAAGCAATCCAGTAGGAAACCTCATTTGCCTCTGCTGGATCTGAGTCTGTCACTGCTAAGATCAAATCTGCCACCAAAATCTGTTGCAAGTATTAAGCAAAGAATCAGATCACTACACTCAACTGATAACATAATTTGCAAACTGCATATCGAGGTGCAGATTCATACTGAGATGCCCCCAGAGGAAGGATGCAGAATGGTACATGTTACAGTGAGAGCTGTTTTCAGTGTGGTTTTCCTCTGCTCTTCTGCCCAGAATGAAATGGTCATAGTTGAGGCTCTCTGCTGATGCTCTGGGGAAAGAGATTTCTTCAATGGGTTCTTTTTCTGGTATTTATTTTTAAAGTGAAGGTTTACTTTTGTGCATACAGAAAAGGTTACTGCTTATAGAATATAATGCTTGCTGCCTCTAGGGAGGTCTTAGGACCACTGACCTCTGTTGCAAGCCTGCTGTTGACTTCACAGGGAGCAGAAGTGGATATTTTTGAGAAGTATACATTGTGTTGTAAAAGGCAGGGGAAAAAAAACACAGAAGGACCACAAAGCACCTTCCCTCCCTGGATCTAATCCTGCAACTTGCCAACCCACAAATCCCACCTCCTTTGCCATTCTGAGCTGTAGAGCAGGCCATGCTGTGGGCTTCTGTGCACAGCTCAGCTCCTGCAAAAGCTAATGCCTGTGCTGCTGTGGCTGCTCAGCAGCCTGCAGCTCTGTGTGTGGAGGTATCAATCACAGACGTGCATTCCTTGGCTTCTTGGGAACTCTATATGCTTAGCAGAGTATCAGGTTCAGCCACACTTATCCCCCTTCCCTTGTTCTGTGTGGAGGTCCCTCACTGGGACGGCTTCTCGCCTTTCTGGGGACTCAGCTGCTCTCTCCAGAAATACATTTAGTATGTTGCTCTACTTTGCTCTCCATGAACATGGTTTTAATACGTTTCACCTGCAGATGTAGCTCTCAAGGCAGCAGCAGTTGAGCTAGTAGTGTTTCTCATTGGTGCCCTCCTCCAAAGCTTCCTCTGAGTTCCCCCTAGTCTCTATGTCCACAACTGCAAGTTATGCTAGGACCTCTTGAGCAACTTGTTGAAGTTGCAGTATTTGCTGGTGAGATAAACTGAAGTCTGAATCCTCTGTGATGCTGGGCTCCTGCTGTGGGCACCTTTTGGCTGGCGGGGCTCATCTTTGCCCCTGTGTCGTGGAAGGGCAAAAAGGCTGGGTTGTGATAAGGTGCACCACCACTGGTATATTTGTCAGTGCTCAAAGCAGGGCTGGCTGTCAGGTTGGTCTGCTGGGGGATATCTAGAGAGCTGGGGTGTTTCCATTTGTATTTTTTTTATGTTTCAGAAAGGGGTCCTCAAAATGACGTGCTTCTGACCCTTGAGAGCACAGGGAGCTTTTTATGTGGGCAAAAAAAGACCATACATTGCTAGTAGCAATGTAGCAGCATCACATCGTGCTTTAACTCACACCTTTATGAATCATAGGCTACTCCTCTCTTCATCCAGGCCCAATTATCTTTTTCAAAAAAAAAAAAAACTAACTCAAAATAGACATCTCAGAATAGTTCTTGGATTTAAAGGGGCAGGTTGCCATGCCACTAAACCACTGTTTATTTGTTGAGGTTTTCGTCTATAAAAGGATTGAGGTTAATTTTAACTTCCTATTTTACCAGTCTTGAATCTGAGCATAAAGCTGCTTGTGTCATGGATACAAGTCCTAGCAAGTTAAGAGACCATAAATTGCTATAATCGAGTTTTATGCTTCTTTCATATCACAAGGAGCAAGCGACTACACCTGTTCATTTAAAACTTCTAACCATAACCAATTCACAGACAAGAGGGGAACAAAAGGGGAGAGAAGGCTTCCACCACATCACACATGTTTTAAGTTGAAAGATTACTTTGTGCAAGTACTGAGCGTATCGTGTCAAAGGCTTTGACCCAGCTCACAGCGTAAGGAAATGCAGTTAGAGCTCAGACAGCAGCTAACACTTCATCCTTAACTCACCCCTTCCTTTGCACGGAGAAAGAGAAAATAGAGCTATGTGAGCTGGGTTGCGTTGCTATTTCGCAGAATCACAGTATCACAGAAATACCAAGGTTGGAAAAGACCTACAAGGTCATCCTTTCCAACCATCTGCCTATCACCGATAGTTCTCACTAACCCATATCCCTCAACACAGCGTCCAAACGTTATTTATACACCTTTATGAAAGTTTAGGCAAAACCCTGCAGAGCATTGGAATTTACACATGCAGTAAATGTAAATCTTTATATGTATTGTGGCTGAGTTTCTTCTAATACCTGGTTTGAACCAGGCATTAAATATGTAATTAGAAATTTAACAGTGGGTAACATTAACTGGAGTAGGTAGATCCATAAGACAGGAATTGTAAAAATATGAATTCATATGGTTCCTTTGTAGTCTGATTTTTTTTTTTAAGGGCCAATAGAAATGTTTTGTATCTGTAAGTCATCAACCTTGGAAGGTATTCTTCTGAGGCAATAACACAGAGCAATAAATAGTCTAAGCAAATTAGGAGGTTAGGAATATCATCCTAAAATGTCTGCAATTAAATTACTTCAACCATTTTCATTTTCACATTATCCCAATGAGTGCCTCCAACCAGTGATTTATTAATTACCTGCGAGTTGGAAAAATAGATAGAATAAAGCTATTTTTCCTGTCCGGGGAAAACAATCACTGTAATCACTTTAAGCTGTATGCTTCTGTTTCTGTTTATGCTTTTATAGCCCTAAAAATATCTGAGCTTTCTCACTCACTTTTTTTTTACGTTTTGTAACCTTATATGTTAAGTTTCAGCTGGGACCGTGTTTTTATGAGCAAGACTGAAATCCCTGGAAACAAGAGTCTGTAATAAAACTGCTGACAGATCTTTAACCAAAGCAGCAGAACCAGCACCAATGGCAAAGTAACAGAGATCGTGTCGAGATCAGCTTTTTGAATTAGCAAGAAACTTAACGATGGAGAGATTATTTTGTTACAGGCCAGCCTTTTGTCTTCCTCCAGGTGCACTGTGCTTTGTCGAGGAGACATTTCAAGGTCTTTGCTATCATAATCTTGCTCTACTAAAAACAGCCTGAGTTTATCAGGGTTCCCATGAACAAGGCAAACGCAGTGGTAAAGTCAAGGGCGGTGTTTAAGCGTGGGGAATTAAGGCAGCTTTGTTCTTCCTATGACTGCATCCTGCCCCAATTCCTAATATTTCCACTTTGAATCAGCTCAGCAGGCCATGGGTTAGCAGAGCCAGAAGCATGCACAAGGCAGCTCTCATCCAAGACAGATACACGGCCTCCCAGGATCCCGCACTCGCCAACCCTTCCCCCTGTGCAATATGCTAAATGCCTGCATTTTCACATCCTTTGGAGACGTGTCTGCCTCTCCCTGCCATTCCCTCAGCATATCATCATCGTGTTTCCACTTGATTAACCACCTGACCTCTCCATCCCAAAATACACTCCCAGGTATCTCAAGCAAGTTCCACCAGAGCTTGGCACCCTGCCTATCAGCATCTTTCCCGACCAGCAGGGTTGTGGCAGGTGGCCATTGGCAACCCTCATGTCATTTCCCAGCAAAGTGGCCAGGGATGCAGTGCTCCAGTGCTTTTTGATAGATGCCCAGAGCTCACCTCCCTGGCTCCAGAGCAACATTTCTGTACCATAAGCCAAGCTGCTTGAATTTGGTGCGTGGCCATGGCACATCCCTTCACTGGAGACACTGAGGGTGAGCAGGAGAACATGGGAACAAAGCAGGAGGACACTGGGTGAAGGAGAGGTGAAGCTGCCCTGGTGCTGAGGACCCGTAGCTTGAGTGCCACGGCCACTGGGAGATTGCAGGAAATTTGGTGAATGAGTGGTGTTTTCACAAAGTATTTGCAAAACAGATCTGTTTAGTTGGAATTCCAACTGGCTCCATCAAGAGGAGATGTTATAGGGAGAAATACCTTTTTACTAAATGCAATACATTTAGTTGATTCACCTTTATGTCTCGAGAGATAATGCTTTAATATTGCCATGAATAACCTCACCAGCTTTTCTCTTTAAAGGGTACAGTGTCATTAGTAGCAGACTCGCCCTACTATTTATTTGCTGTGTCATAAACCAGCTTCCATATAAAGGGATGAGCACAATGGTGCGTGAACCAGATTAGCTTACTGAAAGCCATTCTCCTCTCATTCAGTCTAACAGAATTCTTCTCAGGGGAAAAATCATTCCTCTTTCACAACCCCTACTAACAAATCTGTGTAAACCTCCTTCTGAAGGGTGCCCAGGCCTATCCCATAGCTCTGAATGCCGAGGTGCTGTTGTTTTTCTCCATGGTTACTCATGTTGACCAAACTGGAGCATGTTTTATGGAAGTTTGCTTGAAAGCAGAAATTGGAAGAAAACATCATTCGTGTGACTCTTTGTCATTTGCAGAAGCAGAAATCTAAGTTGTGTAGCACTTCTGGCCAAGCAAGACTTCTCATTTTGCTGTGAAACTAACACCTTCTATATCTATATCTTGGAGAATGTTTGTTAGGTTGTAATATA